CAGAGATTGATTGTTTCGGATAAGTATTTGTGTATATTAATAACCTAATTTGCATAATTAGTTAATTTTCAGCTTTTCCACAGGTATCTCAAGTACTAATCATCGCATTTCAATGAAACTTGGTACATAGATCCTTTAGGACTATGCAGAGACCTGATTAGTTTCAGGGTAAATGTTTGTGCATATTAATCACCTAATTTGCGTAATTAACCAATTTACAACTTTCACACTGATATCTCGGGTACTAATCATCACATATCAATGAATGTTTATACATGGATGCTGTAGGACAATAGACAGAGTGGATAATTGTGGGTTAAAATCTGTACATATTAATTACCCAATTTGCATAATTAACCAATTTTAAGCTTTCACACTGATATCTAAAGTACTAATTTCCATTTTAATGAAACTTAGTACAAAGATGCTCTAGGACAATGTACAAACCTAATTAGTTTGGGGTAAAACTCTGTTCATATTATTTCCCTAATTAGCATAATAATTCATAATTTTTTGGTTCTAATCACATTTCAATTAAACTTCGTACATAGAGTTTTTGTTACATTGCGCAGACCTCATTAGTTTTACAATCGAATCTGTTCATGTTAATTTTCTGATTTGCATAATTAGATTTCAGCTAAGTAATTTCAAATTATATTTAATGTGTCTCCAATACATGGGAGTTCTTTCTAAGCTTTCTTTGATTTGTTGTGCATTCCCACAATCTGTGTTGTCATCACAAGCACGTGTATATGACGTGATAATGATATTTTGACATATTGTGACTTATGATTTTTCCCTGCTGTCTTGATAATAAAAGGTACTTCTTTGATAAACTTTGTGCATGTGATTAATCAGTCCTTGCTTGGAGTGGAAAACAACAAATTATTGTTCTGGTGTACACATTGCAATTACTAGTACCATAAAATCTGTATTAGAAGTTGCATTTGTAATAGAGGTCCCCACCCATTCGTTTTGAACAATTGAGAACCAAAAATTAACCATTTTTATATTTGTAGATGCTTGAATAGAAGCCGCATTCCTTCTGTTGCATTGTACCATTTTAATAGAAACCGTGGCTTCTAATACAGATTTTGCAGTAGTACGCATAAAATTGATAAAATGCCACATTATCAAAATGGAAATGCGAATGAGAGCTCACTGACTCTAATCCAGTGTGTGGATTAACTTGAAATTAAAATTGTGTGATTTTCTTGCAGGACGAAAGTCATTGACAAAGTTACAGGGAGGAATATAGGTCATAAAGTGAAAGTGAAGAAGTCACAATATCCGCATAGTTCTAGTAAACATGCATTGGTCAGTCGGAGTAACGGAAGCAAGACATTGCCAGCAAAGAAAATGACAAGTACTAAGCCTCCGGGAGGAGGAACGCACATAATTCCAAAGATTCATAAAGCCTCTTATAGGTGAGTGCATTCATTATAATACTGCTTCTTATTGGATGGTAATTTAGTACTTGCCCAATCAGAAATGTTCTTTCTTCTATGTTATTGGTTTTAAGTTTTGAATAACATTGACACAACTCGCAGCGTATGTATACTGTAGTGATTTGATAGATCAAACTAGTTATTATGCTGAAAGTATACATGAATTAGGTAAATGCAACACAGAGGTGATTTATTGATGGAATATGATTTTTTTTTATGTAGCACATTGAAAAATAAACGTACGAAATGGTGAGGGTGTATGATAATGAAGTTATTATTAGAATATTACTTATATGATGTTTGAAAATTTATGTGGTTCGTGGTATTAATTGTTTTTGTATTAAGATTATTTAATACTTTCAGCAACAAAATAGATGTTCAAAATTCATTGAATAAAGCTTTTCAAATACATGCATTAAAAGTTTATTACGAAACTTTCTTTAAAACAGAAAACAAACATTTCTTCAATCTGCCGTATGCGACATTTTACAGGAACACAAAATTCCAAACTGGCATTATGCATGAAAACTTGGATACTAATATTTAACTTTGTCATGATTCACTTTATGTAGTCACTTCTTGCAATTTCATTATTTGGAATTCGGGTAAGATGCATATCTGCAGTCCTTATTACAAAAATGAAAGCATGTCCTGTTATTATTTATTGGACGGGTGTGTAATTATACTATGAGGTTATTATGAGGATACCTCAATGTATGCACGAAGACAGTTCAGCGGGACTATTGGCCGGCGTGCAGCGGAGGGCGATGCTACGGCATACTGTCTTATTATTATACATATTTTCCTTCCGAGGATGCATCATGGGAATGCCGAAATCCAAAAAGTTTAGAACAGAATCAGCGAACTTCTTTGTGTGGAGTTCGGTCAAACCCTGGTGGCATCCATGTTTGTTTTTATTATTAGAGGCGTTTACGCGCATAATCATTCCATATTTGGAATACGCGTTTCCTTATATGGTAGGATGAAAATACCCCTTGAATACCGCCAAATTAGGACACGCTGTAACTTATAGCGATACGGTAACAGATGTATAATAATAAATATTATTCTTATGTTTTTTCTCTATCTTTGTTCTATTTCAGAGATAATATAATTCATTTACTCGCATTGAAACCTTACAAGAAACCCGAGTTGATACTTAGATTACAGCGCCTTGGTGTCAATCAAAAAGACAGGAGTCAGTTAGGAACAATATTACAGCAGGTGAGACATTCACAAAACATCAAAAGAAAAACAAAAAACAGATGATTATTTTTAGCTCCTCCAGCAGCACTACTTTTTTTGACATATCAATACATTTTGGTGATCAGGTGACATATAACATCCTCACAAATGTATGTATGCTGATGCTTTAAATAAAGTAGTCCCAAAAGTGTCGCTGCCTCACATGGCAAAACTTTAACTAAATGGTAATATTCCTTAATAGGTGATTTTCCGAACAATTGCGAGATCTCGCGAGATGCATGAAAGACGCGCGTCGAACGTCTGCTGCAAAAATCGAACGATTTGATTTTGAACTAGAATTTCTTTATTTCGCAGCTTACATTGACCGGCCGATCTTCGACAGAGGAATATTGCTTCCGAATACCCTCACTTAATCGAAATTGCCTATCATCAAATGTGGACAGCACATTATTAAGCATGGAAATGTCCCGGAAATACTTTCGCGTTTGTCGAATCCCACGCGATGTTTGACGCGACTACGACGCTATGACCTTTGTTTGTCCTGTTTTTACGTTCGATTTCACGCATAACGCGTGATTCTCGCAGTGCACGGAAAATGGTCTATTATATTCAATGGGAAGTTTTCTCCCATAATGCATTGTTTATATGCTCAATAACATGCTCAGTTGTGGCAAATTTTGGCTCAAAACTCCCTTAAGCTAACTAAATTATTTTATGGTGGCTGTTTTCTGATAGGTTGTAATCAAATCTGAATGAAAACATATTTCATTTTTATCACCTCATCTTATAAAATTGAGTGAAATCAATCTTCCTTGAACCTCATAAATTTCCATGTCTGGGTCACTCTGATTGTCTGTACAAATATCCTTCATTATATGGTTTTGGTAAATTGTAAAACAAATTTGTGATATCAATCATTTATAAACTTATTGCTCAAAATGCATTTGTTTGCTTCAACACACTTGCAACTTTCAGAATATGAATATTCATGTTCATTATTATAGACAAAGTTAAAATATACACCCACACAATTTTGAGACACTTTTTTCAAAGTTTTCATGAAATCTTGTTATTGGGAAATTAGGTCCATTTAGTTCAATATTAACTGAAAAATGAATGAAAAATACAAAAAAATATACAAATGTAGCTGCAAAATTAATTTTAACTGTTAATGTATGATACAGTTTTACACGATAGGGCACACAATCCTCGCTAATTCTGAGCAATTTGGAGAAACTATTTTGTATTTCAAAAATGTTTTATTTTGGGGGATTTATTTTTTCATTATAAATATCATGGATAACTCCGTAAATCTGTGCAAAACGAATGAAAATTATCTACTCGCTACAATTGCTGCTCTTTGTAGGGTTTTCACATGAGAAAATGTTCTATCTCTTTGTTTGGCGCAAACAATTAGAACTTAAATTCCACTTCTAAAAAGTTGGTGACCCAATATTTTTTTTATTTGTAGAAAAGTTTTTCTTTACATGTCCCACCTTGTACATCAACTGTGTAAATACATGTATAAACATACAATTTCCCGAAAACTAGGTCGGTGAACCCTGTTTTTTTGTAGAATAATGTCTCAGTGTGCCAGAAATGGTTTTGGTGAACTGGATTGATCACCCTTGAACTTGAAGCTTTGAAAATCTTCT